TCAGCAAAAGGAAGATCCAGCAGAACAGGTATCAGTTCATTCAAGGTGTCCTCCCAGCACAGTAACACAATCTTAGGATCTAATGAACCTAAGCCTAATTTTTGCATCCTGTCAAAAATAACAGGCAGGAAAGCATTTGTCAATTTGTAAACCACCCCATGGGTAAACAAAGGCCAGCAACATAACTTATTATGATATTCATTGCTTTTTTAGTTACTTAAAAAGAATATCAGTCCGATAGTTAAAATTACATATAACTATGTTTGGATATATAAAATAGCTAGAAAAAGTACTTTGATGTTCCCAGTGTGGCTTATTTTTTATTTGGTTTATGGAAGGCACTTTTCTTTTTGGTCTCCATGGCAATTCAGGTTGTTTTTAATTACAAGGTTGTTAATTTTTTTCCAGTCTAAAGTAGGTGATAAAAAAAGAAATCAACTTCGAAAACAGAAAATGCTCTTGCAGAGATTAAATAAATCACTCGTTCTCCCTGTCCCTGTTCACAGTTGCTTTGGTTCTACTAATAAATTGTCTGTGTGAATTTTAACTTCCAGTTTTGTAGCTAAATAACAAAGAAAAAAACCCTTAAATTAACAAATCTATCCACTGTACTATACTGAAAAACTTATCTTGGGTTGAATAAAACATATTCAAAACGTCACAAAGAAAAGATTTCATCCTTTAAGAACTACTTAGTTTTAAATCATTTGTAACAAAGAGCAATAAAGCAGTGCTAACTTCACAAATTACATAGAGATTCTCTTTTTAATAAGGAGGGATTACACCATAATGTCTCCCATTTCCAGGCGAGTATTAGCACCACCAAGGTAGTCCTAACTCACTGCATTTCATGCTCTCTGATTAGTTAGTGATGTTACACAAAACAGAAAAGCAGCAGCAGTGAAAGTAGAGGAGATATAGACCAGAATTCAGAACAGAATGGTGGTTAGGATATTAAATCGGGAGGTGAGCACAACCCAGAATTTCAAGTAATTTCTTAGACAATTAGATGCATAGAAACCTGCTATCATCCTAGTAACATGGAGAAAAGAAATTACTTCACACAGCCTATTAAAAGTACACACAATTCTGTCCTTGGAATATGTAATCCTTTCAATTTCAGTACATCCTGCAGCAGATGGAAGGTCTCCTGATGAGATTTTTCCTTCCTCTGCGTAGGAGTCCCTCACATCAAAATAGAGTTGCTTCTTTCCTGTCACTCATTGTTCCATTCCTGCAGGGTTAGGAGATCATTTTGCCTTCCAGGGCATCTCTTTAATTAAATATATCCTTTCAGGAGCTAGCTTTACAGCATCTTCACAAGGGCTCGACAGGGAGGGGTTTGATCTGATATGGCTGACTTTAAAGAAGCATTTCCCCTTCAGAAACATTGCAGTATTATGCAATGCAAAAGGAATGCATTTTCAAGCAATTGCAGTTTGAGGGTGATTATTAAAGCCCTAGCAATTCAGGAAAGTGGCAGACAGTTTTATTTTGCTGACATATGTACAAACATTCACTGTAAGTTATTAAGTTTGGGAGGAGGAACCCACGGCTTGCACGTGAAGGTTTAGATTTCAATAAACATTGAAATCTGGAACTTTAATCCTGTTAAAAAGAGCATAGATAATTGAAATTTATTTTTGAGTATTTGCTCAATCCTTATCCTTAATGTTTGTGCCTAAACTTGCATTCCAAACTTTCAAAACTATATTTTTTCCTATAAATAATTAACATATTTCCTTTTAAATTATTTAACATTAAATGAAAGGTAGATACTATCGGTTCACTGGTTCAAATTTTTCCAAATTTAAGTATCTGGTTTAAAAAAAAAAAAAAACTATCTCAGCTGCCAGAAGAGGCCAAACAGAACTTTAGCATCTACTGCAAGAGATTAATTTTTAAATGACTGTACCGGAGCCTGTTTGAATAGTTGGTCAAATTTACAATACCAACATACCCCTGTATTTAAAAGTTTATTTTCGTTGGAATTTAATGTAGAATCATGTATCACTCATAGCTTCCTCAGAAGACTTCTGACTTTCCAAGATACCTCCTTTTAAATTTTGAACTTGTAAATAAATCCTAAATCAAAGCAAAAGTCAGACACCTTTGGCCGTGCTTGCAAATACTTTGCAAAGCTGCATTATTTAACTAGGGAATTTACTGAGAAAGAGATTGTGTGCCTTAATATCTATTTGTGCAGTAAATAGTACATCCTATTTCATCTCATGTACAGATTTACCTCTGTAATGTTATATTTTAATCTAAAAGTGCCTTGAAAGTGTTGAAGCTTTACTGAACAACCTAATTATGTACCTTTAATAGACTATGCCAGCTTTATAACTACATGTACTCAGGATAAAAACTGCCTCAACAGAGAAACATTTTCCTCCTTTATTGAAAATGCTTATCTGCCATGTAATGAATCTGTACAGGACTTGATGTCTAAATCAAATCACATTTGATATTTGGCACAGGTCTCATTATTCATTATGAGAATGGCAGTCATATGTCTGCCAGCCATGTTAGAAAAGCAAGATGCTGTGACAGAAATGACAGATATTACCAAGTAAAAATAGGGGGAAAAAGTGAAAAGTGTTCCAATTTCATTAACTGCTAAGAATAATCTTCAATGTAATAAATAAAAGAGAGGCGATAGACAAATTTACTGGCAAAGGAGCAAGAAGCAGACGGTTGTCATTTAGGCCAAAGATAATTCTTCATTTATTGGCTTTCACAAGCAGTATAAATCTATAGAGCTAAATAATGCTAGAGAGTTCAGTATGAATGACATTTAAAATTGGCTGTTGTGAGTTAAATATATAATCTTGGTATCCTTGGTGATGGCTTTGCATATCTAGCTTTGATTTTAAAATAGAAGTGTGCCTCAAAAAGGTGGCGGGGGTGGGGGGGGAGGAGAGGGAATTATGTGGGATTATTGGTACTAGAAAAAATTATTTTGATGACCAACATAAATACACAGAAATAAGTATGGCCATAGGGCAAGCAGAGAGCAGTACTTGGGCAAGATGGCAACTTTTTCTATTGGCAATTACTTTATACATACATGTAGGTATTTTCTTCTAACCAGCTGTGAGCCAGTTCCCAGTGCACTGCTGTCTCTGCCCTCAATCATTTCATAAGAGCTCGAACTATTTTTCTTTCTTTCAGAAGAGTGCAAAGAAAAGGCTTCTATTCTTATCTCAGCCACAACAGTAAATCATACACTTGCTGTCAGCCCTTACTAATGGCTAGGTGAAAATGAAACTAAAATGGCAGCTCTACCCAGTAATGATAACATACACAACACTCTCATAGAAACTAGCATTCGGCTACATGGCCAGGGAGTGATGCAAGAAAATGAGACTGATGAAGAGCCCCATTCTGAAGCAGTCAGCCACGTAGGACTAAATTCTTGGAACTATAAAACAGTGTGTGTACCCAGAAGCTACCAAGGCTGCTTGAAGACTCAAACATTTCAAAGAGCAGTAATCACAGCTTGCAGAATTGCATTCCAATTGCACTTGTCCTTTTAGAATCCTCAGTAACAGTGGGTCCGCCAAATCCCTTTACTGTGGTTCTAACTTAACAATGCAAATTGTATTTTCCTGAAGAATAGTTCCAAAATATGGAGGATTCTGGTACCATTCTAAATCTCTAATTTAGAAAAAAAAAAAAAATTCAGGAAACAGAAAACAAAGGTAAGCATTATGGCCAGTTACAATGAATCTGCTAGATGTTATTGTGCATTTGGTACAAAGCAAAGGTTGCTTAATAAACTGCTGGCCAAAACCTCTACAAAGATTTCCAGTATTAACATTAGACACAATCTCTTAACTTGAAAATGTGACAGATTTTTTTTAAACACTCCAGATGTGTATATGTCTGCAGGAAAGAAAAAGAGGGGCAAACACAATCAATGTCCTTTTTTTGATCCTGAAAAAAAACACAGCAAAATCAAACATTAAGAAAATAGTGCATGCTTCTGGATTATTTCAAAATGCAATTAAACAAGCTTGAATCTCATGGGGATATATTTTCAAACCCATTTGAAAAAATCAGCCAAATGCTTTAGCAGATACTGTTAAAAACAACCAACAACTAACAAAAACAACATTTTTGTTCTGCTCATAAAGCTTACTAATCTCATAGATTAGAACAGAGAAATAAATTATTCCTTATGTATTGGTTTAGAGACACTATAGTTGTTACTTACTGTAAACTTTACATGATAAGCATTATTGTAAATTTATCATAAATTGTTATTAGTTTTCTGGAAGTGCAACAAAGTTTATAATTTCTCTCTAGCTTAAGAGAAGATAGTAAGGAGGCAGGAGAGAAAATAGGTACCATATTAAATTCATTAACTGTTACAGATATACATTCATTTAGAGTATTACAGAGATGTATTTTTATGGAGACCATTACAGAATTAAAGGGATGCTTTAAGTACTTATTGATATTATCATCCGCACTTTACACTAGGAGAGAAAAATCAAAATAAATTAGCCAGCACAATTACATAATTATTACTCATAGCTGACAAAGTCATGGTTCATTAATCAAATTACTTGAAATACTAACAGCTATTCTGTCAAGAAGGAAAAGAAGCCACCAGAAGTAAGCCTTATGAGTGTAGCTCACATTAAGCCTGAAATTCACCAAACACATTCTACTGAATCACAAGTATATGTTTCAGAGGCAAGATGGTCTCACTTGGTGCTGATAAATACAACATTAGAAATACAAGATGCACAGTTTCTGAACTTTTGTAAGGCAAAATAATTTATTTCCAGAAACCAGCAATTTCTCTGATCATTCACTGGCTCCTACCACATCCAACTGCAGTTAGAAGCACAGTGTGAGTGTTATGCACAGGAGTGTTTATGCTCCAAGGGGCTTTCAGAGTCCCACACAAGGCATGGACAATCTCCAGAAGACTCTGGACAGTCTTCAAGGTTAACCCGGAGTACAGCTCTGAGCCAGCAATAGCAAACATGGAGAACAGCTGTGAAGTAACACAGGCAATGAACGATCACAGGTTCTCGTCCAGCAGAGACGATCAATCACGTGCAGCGTCACCAGTGTCCGAGCAGTCAGGATCAAAGTTGGAATCGATAAATACTAATAAATATAAAGAGACTGAGGAGGGACAACTACTAGTTACAGAGACTGCATTGCTTCCTATTTCTATAAATATTTTTCTAACAATACAAAATTTGCTTTGCAGTTTTCCCTCATGCTGAATAAATGGCATTCTCTCATCCAAATGTCCCTCAGCTGATTAGATATGGGAGTAATATTGTGAAAGTGGTGTCTGGAATAATGCTCATGCTAGAGCTTTTTAATCCTGCATACCCCTTCTGAAAACCTGGTATGAACTATAAGAATCAAGGATTCACTAGAAAAAAGACATATAATCTAATGACTCGGATGCTACTGGAATCCTAGACCAATTAGAAATTCTTTATTTGGGAAAAGTTACACTTGTACATTATTTTCCCCACACGGAATTTATATCAGGACACTTACAGAGGTATAATCATATAGGCAGAATAATTTTCCAGGAAAACTAGCCCTTGTAGAAGAATATCAACCCTGTAGCTCCAGAAACTAAGTATTATTCATATTTTTTTCTTTCTTCTTCTTTTAAAGTTTTTCATGCTTTCAGAAATTAAGAGCTGACTACACATTATTAGAAGATGCAAGACATTTCTTAGATTACTTTTTGTTGAACTCTTCGGTTTCTTGATAGCAATTGCTAGGATTTCAGATGGTTTTGATTACAGAACATAAATCATGCAAGCAACTATGGGACATCATTCTCCTGGCAAGTCCCTCACAATCAGAGATTACAAGCACTATGGGGGGGGCAGTGAGCCCGCCTAGTGTATGTACAGATGAACGTACAAGACCATATAACATAAGTATATAAGACTGTATAATAAGCACCTTTTATCTCAAAATTCATAATGCAACTCAACACAAGCCAGTCTGCTGACACTGATGTATCCCACCTTATAGACTTTATTCATTCAAAAACATACTGCTTCTATCAAAAGAGGCTTTGATAAACTTCTATTTATTCAATAATCTTGAATTACCAGACAAGATAAATCACTTATTACTTTCAAAGAGAAAGTGTTTGAGAGACTGCTGGGTGTGTTTTGAAAAACCTTATTTTACCTATTCAGCTATCTTTGATGTTTTATCTGTTTCCACCTTCTGAGGGTCAGTGAGAGAAAAATATCTCTAGGAACAACACAAGACAAGCCAAGTGTAGTATCAACATCTCTGTTCTGCCAGGACAGATGCGCTGAGGGACACAAGCAGCTTTCCAGCAGTACAGATACTACATTTTCTTGTATCCACTGAGGATAACACAGCTACAAACCTAACGTGGTGTGAGATCTAATGGCCACTATATACAACAGTCCTAATTTATTGAAATATATTGTTTACCCCATATAGAAATCTGCGCCCACCCTGTGCCCACCTCCTGCTTCAGCTAGCTTTGGGGAAAATTGGTGTATTCTCATGACATTTGCATTCCCACTGCAGACCAGTCTTTTCATTAGTTAGTACTTTATTGAAAAGAACTCTGTAACAGTGAAGAGAAGTGCTAATACTCAGCCTATTATAGATTTTTGTATCTACCGTTACAATTCAAATGAGATAATTTGAAGAAAAAGCTTAATGAAAAGATCTGTTTAGAACTTAATCTCTTGCAGTTGTCTAGAAGTTCATTTAAGAAAAAATATGCATATAGAATTAATGAGAAAATGGCAATTTAGAACTTACTCCATGTTTGTATGTTTACAATCAATAGCTTGCTCTTAAGACAGCTTTAAAAGAATAAACAGTAAATGTTTACATGAACTTCTTTAAAATTATAATGCAGTAACTTGATGTGAAAGACACCCACAATAGTGTGATCCAATTAGCTTCCATCCAGATCTCTTGACTTTTCCCCAGAGAAAATAAGGAACAGCTGTTTGAGCAATAGAAGCCTTTCCTACAGTCAAAAGCCTCCAACAGTCAAAGTCTCCCCTTGTGTCTGCTGTAGCACAACACAAACAGTTGCTGCCAGCTGCAGCTGAAGGGGAAGGCAACAGTTGCTGAAAGAGGCAGGTGCTGGTGTGGGAGCATGATGCCAACTCCTGCTCTAGAGGGATGTGTGGTGGGAAGGAAAACGTGGCCCATGGAGACAGGAGCAACAACTAGATTTGGCTTTCACTGTGTGTGAGATTCAACCACCTTAATCTAAATGCTTATTGGGTTTGGTCATATGAATTTTTAGTCCGAAAATAACTTTTAAAAAGCGTTTCTGAGTTACCACTCTCATGGATACATTTCAGATTTCAGTTTTGTGACTTTTACTGTGCCAGGCATCACAGTCTTCATGTAGATAAATACATAATGCTAGTGAGAGCACAAAATAAAACTATCAAAGTTATTCTGTAGTATGGTTTATTCTGTATTTCCAGGAGAGGGACTAAACTGAATCTAATAATAATTTATTCCTATGGCTCTCAATTGCTGTATCATTGTATTGAAACTTTACAGCACGTTTTCTACAAAAATTGTTAAGATCTTTGCTCAAGTTTGCATTGTAGCCAAAACGGAGGCCTCCGACACCTATAAACTGTAATTGTACTAATCAGGATATAATTAATATTAGCTTGCCTTGGACTCAAATATTAGTATCCTAAAGTATTGTTACTAACAATAGCATCTAAGTATTTTTTAATACTGCAATGGCATAACTGGACACAACGTATAAGCATTTTATATCAGTGTATAAGCGATGTCACCACCAAAGGACCAAAGTAAGACAGATGGGAATAGCTACAAGTAGGAGACATTCAAGTAACAAAAGGTGTCAGACAAGAGTTGCACAAGGGACTGAAAAGAGGCAGAACAACATCCCAAACACACAAAAAGGATGACCAGCAAAGCCAAAAAACAACATAAGCGGGATCGAGTACCTCCCCTCCCTTTTGGGAGGAAGCAGGCAATAGCATAAAAACCACCAAGCATAATCAAGGAAAATCAGAAAAGAAAGAGGTCAAGCCTACTTTGATTCCAACTTCTAGAACAAAGAGGTTTCAAGAGTGATAACCTTGACCTCAGAGACTAAGAACCACCAAGGATTTAGCCATCAGTCCTAACTATACGGCATCAGCTCTGTAGTACTGTATGCCTGCAGGTGTTAAAGACTAACAGTTTTGTATACGTATAATGTCTATGACTATTATTAATGTTTAAATTAATCATTATCATGAAGTGTTTTTAATGAATGAATTTAGTAAAGTTAAGTTTTAAAGTTTAAAACTGGACTGATTTGTCAATCTTCTAAGCACTTACATTCCAACAATCTAATTTCCTGATTTTATATATGTATACACACACACACACACATATTCAACTGCAAAAGCATTAAAATAGAGATTCATTTGGTTAGATCCTAGAATATATTGGCTAATCTTCAGTAAATTATTGGCTAGTTTTCAGTAAATCACTTAAGTGTACATCAAGTCGTAAATAACTCGATTAGTCCCACTAAATGCAACAGAATGACTTATTTTTTACAGCTGCATTACATTGTTTTGCTTCTTACGGTAAAATTTGATATTAGATCTTACCTTTTATATACTTTTTAATGTTTTGAATAATGGTAAAAAAAAAAAAAAAGCTGTCCCTAGGACAACATAATCATATCAATGAAATAGCAAAGTGACCCTCCTCCCCATCAGTAAAAGTAAATTAAATCTACATAGGCAAAGTAGCTGTGGGACCTATTAATTTTATTATTCTGGATTATCTCATGCTACCATGCTATATGATGGTATACTTTGAGGATTCCGAAGTTTCATATCTGTATAAGCTTTATTCAAAATACCAAGATAAGAATTAAGGAACCGGTCTCCAAAATTTCTACAAAAGCTGTATATTTCCCTTCTGCCCAATCCCTCAAGAATACTTTCCCAGCTTAGGCTGTCACTCGTGACAATTTTTTTAGGAATTGGTGTCTTGTTCTAAGCAGGGCCAGCATCACGAACTGAGCTGAAGACAAATTAGAACATAAACAGTCAAGAGCAAACCTTATGCCAGAAACAGAGAGACCTACTAGGCACTATTCACTTGGTGTAGGTCATAGTGAAAAAGCCATGCACACAAGTGATCCTCTTTAGAATGGGAAAGCAGAGTAAGGAGAGAGGAGACTAGAAAAGAATGCATGTATCTCCCCTCTCAGCTGTCAGTACTACGTCCTCTAGGTAAGGCTGCGCATAGGCACTCAGTGTTAAGAGGTCAGGGGACAGGGGCAGTAGAGGCAAGCACAGCCTAAGCCCTCAACTATGGCCCAAAATATTTCTCAGTCTACAGTAATGAGGGGAAAAAAAACCTGACAAAACGATAATGGTGTGATTTTTGGAGAAAGCTGAATGGGTACTTGTGTTCTAAGAATTTAGGGTAAAGGAAGTTAAAGATGTTATTCTAATTTCTGTTTCTAGCATCTTTGTTTTTTTTTGGAACTTTGCCCAGGAGGTGGAGTTGCTCTTTATGTGAGGAAGCAACTGGAACGCATGGAGCTCTGCCTAGGGGTGAATGAAGAACAGGTTGAGAGCTTATGGGTAAGGATTAAAAGGCAGGCTAACATGGGTGACATGGTTGTGGGTGTTTACTACAGGCCACCTTATCAGGAAGAGGAAGTTGATTGGGCCTTCTACAGACAGCTGGAAGTAGCCTCACAATCACAGGCCCTGGTTCTCATGGGGGACTTCAACCACCTTGACATCTGCTGGAAAGAGAGCACAGCTAGGCACAAACAGTCCAGGAGGTTCCTGCAGAGCACTGATAACTTTTTGACACAGGTGGTGGAAGAGCCAATGAGGAGAGGTGTGCTGCTACACCTTGTACTAACAAACAAAGAAGGTCTAGTTGGAGATGTGAAGGTTGGGGGCACCCTTGGCTGCAGTGACCATGAGATGCTGGAGTTCGGGATCCTGCAAGGAGGAAGCAGGGCAATAAGTAGGATCGCAACACTGTCACGCCACTCTTCAAAAAAGGCAAGGAGGAGAAGCCAGGAAACTACAGGCCTGTCAG